AGCTCTCCACACACTCACCGGACCTGGGCTAGGACTGGGTCTCGATTCCTTGTATTTTTACATGAACCTTAGAAATAGCTTTTCTTCCCCGCCCCACTCCCCAGGGATTGAACTCAGGACCTTGCGTTTCCCAGGCAACCACTGATTCCACTGAGCTATCTCCCTGGCCCTAGAATTAGCTTTTAATTCCCCCTCAAGAGGAAAAAAAACCCTAATGAGATTTTTACTTTAGATCAGTTTGGGAAAGCTGATTAACATTATTGGATTTTTTAACCTTAAATATAATATCTTTCCATATATTTAGGTCTCCTGTAATTGACTTAAGCAGGGTCTTATAATTCTTATTGTAGAGGGCTTATTTCATTTATCATCTGGTGGCATGTGTGCTGTTGACTCTGAGCCTTTTCCCATGAGGTTCACAGTACTCAGAGCAGCCTATATCATAGTTGAGCAGGAAAGAGAAGGACCTTGTTCTCCCTGTGGCATCCTCCACTGGTGGGGCCACACTAGGAATCAGTGGGGTGTTGTGCTTGCTCTGGGATCTTGATTTTTTGGTGTGGATCTCTCTCAAGCCTCTTTCAATCAGATGAAAGGGCTGGTTGCAGGCAGCAGAAGGTTGTGTGGATAAGAATCTCAGCGAGTGACCGGTGAGCATGCCAACCTTTCTATTATGACCCTTGCAAGGTCATAATACTGTTAGAAACCAGGCTCCTCTTTCTTTGCCTTGAGACTGACTCAGAACCAGGGGCATGATTATCAAAGACTAAACTACTTTATGTCCTATTTAAAGAGACAGATTTCAGTCATACTAGAAATTCAAACATTTTCAGGGCACATGCATAAATACCTAAATATTGAATCTCATGCTAAAGATTTTTGCTGCAGGCATTGCCCCTTTCATGGTTCAGAAAATTACTGTTATTAGAACTAAACATACTGACATCAGTCTTTCTGTTTAATTTTCATAAGGAAATTCTAGATATGTGCCTGAGAAGTTACCACAGTAAAGCCATAAAAAGAAGACAATACATTTTAAAATTACAGTCTTTTAAAAACTAGCAAAATGTTTGGGATTTGGGGGTAGAATTTTTAATTGCTCAAGAAATATTTTTTTTGTAGAACAGC